GAGCAGAACAATGGTAATTTCACACACACACACACACACACACAAGAACAACAGTGAATTCACACAGGCGCTGGCCTATCTGAAACCAGTACATAAATCTTCCAGAGAATAAAAAGATTGAAGGAGCCGAGTATGGTGGCTCACCTTTGTAACTCTAACACTCAGGAGGCTGAGGATCGAGAGTTCCAGGTCAGCTTGAGCTACACAGTGAGACCCTGTGTCAAAAAAAAAAAAAAAACAGACCCAAAGGAGTTACGGCAGATTTTAGTTTTTGCAGAAATAGCCAAAGCATTTCTCCTGCTATGGTTTGAATATGTTTTATCCTTCCAAAAACTTATGTCAAAGTGTACTCTCCATTGTGCCTTAAATTTCTACCTTTAACCCAACCATGGTGTTTAGAGGTGATTGGAAACCTGGACAAGAGGCTCAAGCAGTAAGAGTGTCCACCTAGCAGCATGAGGCCCTGAGTTCAAACCCCACTGCTGCCCCCCAAAAAAGAAGAAAAACTTGGGAATCACAGAGGTGACTGAATACTGGTGGCTTTATAAAGAGGCCTGAACACACACACACACACACACACACACACACACACACACACGAATGCTCCCTGTCTCTGGTCATATGCTCTGCATTGCCTCAGAAGACCAGCAAGAAAGTCATCACTAGCTGGGTGAGGTGGCTCACTTCTGTAATCCTAGCTACTTGGGAGGAAGAGATCAGGAGGATCCCTTCAGTTGGAGGCCAGCCCAGCCAAATATTTCTTGAGACCCCCATCTCCAAAATAACCAGCGCAAAATGGACTAGAGGCATGGCTAAAACAGGAGAGGGCTTACTTTGCACATGTGAAGCCCTGAGTTTAACCCCAGTCCCACAAAAAAAATTATATATATGTATATATATTTATATTTTTATGTATATATGTGTATATATAGAAAAGGAAAGCCATCACTGGATGCAGATCCTCAGCCTACACCTGCAGAACTATGAGCCAAAATAACCTCTTTTCTTTATAACGCGGTCTGCGGTGTTGTGTCATTAGCAAAGAGAAAGGACTAACACCTTCCCCTCCAGGATTAGCAGGGAACACAGAGCACTGATGCAGCTTAATGAGGTAATCAGTGTTAATGTAGCACTCACAGACTAACGCTTACTATTTCAACCACCACAAGCACCCACTGAGAAGCTACTCTGTGTTGTGCCCACTGCACCTTCATTTAAAGGTGATATACACAAAAAATATCATTTCACTGATGAGGAAACTGAGGTTCAGGGAAGTACAATAACTTGCCAAGATCAAGGGATTGGTGAAGCTGGGATGCAAACATTTTCCCCCCACATGGCACTGCTTTGAATCAATATTACAATAGTGGTTTGTTTTCAATTCACAGAAAAAGTAAAAAACAGCCCAGAGAAATTTTTCAAATTGAGCTGGGTGTGGTGGTACACATCTATAATCCCAGCATTGGAAAATGAAGGCAGAAGGATGGAGAGTTTGAGGCCGGCCTGGGCTACATATTGAGACTGTCTCACAAAAGCAAAACAAAACCAAAGTTAATTTCTTGATGTTTTCCTTTAACTTTTTAGTGCACATGAGAGCAAATTAACTTGCATCAAGCATATATCCGTGAAAAGTTAGAACAGCTCATTTCATTTGGTTCAACAGTGTGTGTGTGTGTGTGTGAGTGAGAGTGTGTGTGCATGAGTGTAAGTGTGAGAGTGTGTAAGTGTGAGGGTGTGTAAGTGTGAGGGTGTGGGGGGGTGAGAGTGTGGGGGGGTGAGGGGGTGGGAGGGTGAGGGGGTGGGTGTTTGTGTGGGTGTGTGAGACTGTGTGTATGTATGTATGAGGGATGTGTGAGTGACTGAGTGTGTGTCTGTGTGTTGTGTGTGTAACAGGGTGTGTGTGTGAATGTGTGAGTGTGTGTGTAGGTGTGCGAGTGTGTGGGAGTGAGATGTGTGAGAGATGTGAGTGTATGTGACTGTGTGTGGGTGGGTGTGTGTGGGCGTTGTGGAGGTGAGTGTGTATGTGAGTGTGTGTGAGTGCATGTGTGGGGGGTGTGAGTGGGTGAATGTGAATGTATGTGTTAGTTCACACATGTGTCCATGTGGGTATGAGTGTGAGCATGTGTGAGTGGGTGTGTGAGTGTATGTGAGTGTGTGATTGTGTGGGTGTGTGCATGTGTGTGAGTGGGTGTGTTTGCGTGTGTGTGTGTATGTGTGCGTGTGTGAGAAATGTCTGGGTGTGTGAGAGATGTGTGCGAGTGTGTAAATGTGTTTTAGTGTAATGAGTGTGTTTGAGTGTGTGTGGGTGTGTGTGAGAGATGTATGAGTGTGTATGAGTGTGAGTGTATGGTGTGTGTGTGTGTGTGTGTGTGAGTGTGGTTCTGGTCTGGTAAGAGATCCAACTATAACTAGGTAATTTGTGCTTGCTAGGCAAGTGCTCTACCTCTGAGCTACTTCCCCAACCCCATCCTGAACTGTCTGAGAAGGCTACTGGAGTGTTGTTTCCAAGTTCGTGTCCTGGGACAGCCAATGATTGAAGACACCAGACCAGGAGCTAAGAGTTAAAGCAAGCACAAAGTTTATTGAAGGGACAGTAAAGCACCCTGACAGGTGGGACTTAGTGAAAGAGCTAAGCCATGGAATAGCTGCAGTCTGAGATTATACAGAGGCCTGATTTAGGCACCGCCCACATTACCTTAAAGCTATTTCCAGAATTAACTTCTTGCTGAACCCGACCATCTGGCCACCCCCACCCTCACTGGACAGGAATTCCAAGAGGGTCTCGTTTGTCCATCCTATCCTTAAGACCTGTCACGTACATTTTCTGACTACTGCTCACTATTCTGGTGAGACCCCCTTTTCACTTATCTTGGGAAAGTTTGCTGTGTTTCTTTCCTTTGGGTGTCCATATTTCATCCCTGTAGATGGTTGCCTTTAAGGATGCCTCTTTGTCTCCCTTATCTAGGAGAAAACACTGCTGCACTTTATTATCTGGGTGAGAAGCCCACTCCTCACTTCTCCTTAGATGTTTGCTTTTAACAATGCCTTCTGTCTCCTTCATCTAAGACAAAGTTACTCTGCCATTTGTTTCCTTTACATTCTCAGAGCCATTTCTGCCATTTATTCCCCCTCACATTTGTTCCCCTCACAAGAACAAGAGTATCCAGTGACAGCTGAAGTAGCATCTCTGAACAGGAGGGCAAATCTGTAAATAATTCTAAGTATTTTTGTGGTTACAGGGACAGTGAGGGAGAAAATACCAGGGGAGGAGGTGGGGATTGAGAGCAAAATGTGGAACGTTATAAAAGCAGCATGTCTTGCCCTGACATGTTTGGTCAAGCAGGTCAAAGGCTGCAGGTCCCCCACTTTTGTTCTGACATCAACTGCTATACTGCAACACAGGAGTGACGCCAGCCACTAGAGTTAGATCTGATGCCCCAGGTTAAGTGACACAGTCCCCAACACAACAGCCTTCATTTGACTCGCCCCATTCTGGTGGGCCCAGGTCACCTACACTTCTGACTGGCTACAATACAGGAAGTTGCTGTGACCTCCTCTCTCAGGTTCAGTAATTCACTAGAAGTCACAGAATGCAGGAAAAAACTATATTTATGATTATGATTTTATTATAAATAGGATACAAATTAGAACCAGACACATAAAGAGACATACAGGACAAGGGCTGGGAGGATCTCACACAGAGCTTCCCAGACCTGTTGTCATGGAATCAGGGCACATCCCCCTGCTCACCAATCACTAAGCCTCTGTGTCCAGAAATCTTACTGGGATGTCATTATGGAGGCAGAAATGACTGAATCATTGGCCCCATGATGGAACCCAAGCCCAGCCTCCTCTTTCCTCCCCAAGGTCAGGCTAGTTCCAAGTCCCAACCCTCTAATTCTACCACTGGTCTTTCCGGTAACCAGCCCCATCCTGAATTATCTCATTTCTTGTGTGATCCAAGGGCCCCATGGAGAAACAAAGACACTCCTACCACTCAGGAAGTTAATTCCAGGGATTCAGAGCCCTTCTCCCCGGGAATCAGGGACAATGGCCAGCAAAGATGCTCACTATCCAACCACATCAATGCCCCGCTGGTGTAGTGGTACTATGCAAGATTCCCAACCATATCAACTCCACACCTCCACATCCTCTCCTCTCCAAACACAGGTAAACCCCACCTGAATGGGGCCCATGGCCAGGTGGGGCTATGTTCTGTTTCACTTTTTCTGATAGAAATATTCAAACACATGCAACAGTAGAGAGTGTGAAACAGGGAGCTCTCCATTCCCACCATTGCTCACTGGTTATCCGAGTGTGGATTACCTTTTCATCCATGCTCCACCCTGCCAATCCCCTGCAACTCAGCCCAGACAGATATCCCATCGGTCTGAGAATTCCTTATCTGAAGCATTCCAAGAGGAACACTCCAGGAGGCGACAGTTCTGGGGCAGATGGGTGGAGCCTGGGCACCCAAAGGCTCCAGAGTAGTAACTTCAGTGGTGGGTGCCTCAGCTGTGAATGCCAGCATGATTGACAAGTGACATCTTCCACTTGCACCATGATGTCAGAAAGAACACCAAACACTGCATTCTTGCATTCAAATCTTCTAAGGTTTATCAGCTGGCCTTGCCCTGGTTACAGTCATGATTATCTTCCTAAGGAATCACCTCTAAAGAAATAGCTCAAAGAAACTAAAGCAGGTACCTTAAAAGCAACTGAGGCCAATAGGAAAAGGGGAACAGGTACTAGAGAAAAGGTTAGATCAAAAAGAATTAACCTAGAAGGTAACACCCACGCACAGGAAATCAATGTGAGTCAATGCCCTGTATAGCTATCCTTATCTCAACCAGCAAAAACCCTTGTTCCTTCCTATTATTGCTTATATTCTCTCTACAACAAAATTAGAAATAAGGGCAAAATAGTTTCTGCTGGTTATTGAGGCGGGGCGGGGGGAGGAGGGTGGGGGCGGACTGGGTGGTAAGGGAGGGGGTGGGGGCAGGGGGGAGAAATGAACCAAGCCTTGTATGCACATATGAATAATAAAAAAAAAATAAAAAATAAAGAAATAGCTCAAATACTCCTAACTAATTACAATTAACAGTGGGAAGCAAAAATCACATAGAAGCTAACATATTAGTAATAAATTGTGGATCAATTACAGAGTAATTACAACAGGCATATTTGGTCAGCCAGTCTTGACTAATACAAAGACTTGACCTTGACCTTTTGGTTTATCACACCAGAGTGACTGAGATAGTCCCCAGTATCTATATCTGGCATAGGATTTTATGTTAGTGTTTCTGGGAATTTCTGGTACTCCCACAGGGTACCAAGGTTTTCCTGCTCACATATTAGGAAGCAGGTATCCCCTCCATGATGGAATGGCAAGATGGTGAACAGAGACATCTCCCTTCTTATCCGCCTGATTCTGCAAAATGAGAAGAGGGATGGATGCAAAGGTTCCTCCCACTCCAGGACTTGAAAGCGCAGCGGCCCTGCAAGGCTACATACTGCAAGGTCTTACCATTGCAAAATGAAAGGTTCAAGACAGCAAGGGCACCTTGCCCACCGCTGGACTTTGGTTACCTGCTTGATTCTCAGCAACAGAGGGCTCTTGTGTCCCTATGAGCTGCTAACTTGCCAAGGAAGACTCCTCTGTTGCTCTCATTTCTATAGAAGAGTATCCTAGTAGGAGCCCTGGGTTAATCTTTGGCATTCTACTCCTCTAGCTGGTTCCCAGCCTTGACTTGGCTTCAGACAAGGCTTTAGTATCAGAAGATCCATGAAGATGCTTTGGAACCAAAGTGGAGAAGCATTACCAGAGAACTTTTCTTCTCTGAAGTAAAGGAAGAAAACTTTTAAAATCATGTATCAGCCTTGCAGAGACATCTCCTCTACAAAGATTCTTCTCTCCCTAGGAACTGAAAACTTCCTGGGAGAGGATACAGATCACACATCTGTCCGGAACACTAAATGCTCCTGGCCCTGGAATTCCAGCACAAGGCCTGAGATGCGCTAAATTCTCAAATATCCATATGCAAAGGTCTGGGGTCCTTATTTCCCCACAGTGTAAGAAGCCTGACAGGAGAAAGCTCCCCTCTTGGGAAAGCCCAGAGTTGGACTTAGGTCACAAGAGGCCAAATTTCTCACACTGCCTGACGGGCACTTACATCCTGACATCATCAGGATATAAGGAATGGGGGGAGACTCCAGCAATCCATTTACTCCTGCCCCTTGACAGACTGGGTTATTTTCACTGCATGAAACACTGCAAGGAAAACAGCCACTTGTCTGACTCTCTTTAGCTCACTACATCCCTGATTCTTAAGTCTTCCTGACCTCTAGCCTGGTCAAATCAGGAACTGGCTCAATAAGCAAGACAGCAGAAGGGCAGGGAAAGGCCTCAGACTCAAGAGAGGGTCTGCAGCCTGTTGCTTAGGGTATATGCTGCCCCCCTTCCCCAACCTTCCAGATCTGCTATAAGGCCTTTTGGACCATAGGTAGTCACCCCAGCAGGTGACCTAGTATGGTCCCTGCAGCAGCCACACACAGCCACACACGTGGCGTCAGATTATGTGGCGTGGCTGGCTGCTTGACTGTGGTAGCATTGGCGGCATCCACAGCAGTCAGGCCAATATCTACAATCCAGGGAAGAGGGACACCATGGCTGAAGACAGCTGTCAAAGCAAGGCACTGTGTAAGAGCAAAGCCATCATGCTTCCGTTAACCCAAGCCAGGGTCCTGCCTGCCCCACAGCCCAGGCTATAGGAAGCAAGGCCTTCAAGTGAGGCTCTCTGGCAGCAGCCAGAGTGTCTTTGCTGAGATGCCCCTTGTAGCACTTAGAAGAGAGAGAGAGCTATCTCTATAAACTGGGCTTGTGTCACCTTGAACTTCACCCTGAACTTCACCCAATCACAAATTCAACAGAGTCTGATTGAAATCATAGTTTAAAGCCTCAACTAAAAGCTCCTAACCAAATGGCTGGCAATATTGAAATTCAGTGTAGGAGTGGCGCTCACAGGTAGAGCCTAAGTTTGTACAAGGACCTATGGCCAATCCCCAGTATCAAAAAGATAAAATATATATTGAAGTTCAATGACCTTGGAATTTTTTTAAAAAATCTAGAGGGTAATCAAAACACCAAGATCTGAAGGCTATCCCAAAGAGTAAAGTACAGAAACCCATCACCTAAGAAAGAATGTGGCTGTAGATTTTCTACAAAAGCCCTAATGACTTTACTCCCCAAAGCTCTGCCCTGGTACCCAGCAGCCTGGAGATTCCCCAGAACAATGGGAGGAGGTCATCCTTCCCTGATGGACACCAGGAGGTAGACATGCTTCCCCACCCACAAGACAATCACCCCACCTCTTTCCCAATGAAATCCCTCTTTTTATTCCATCTCCCCCCTCCTCTGATCCCCTTCCACCCTTCTGACTGCTGGGGACTCAGGGAAGCACTCCAAAGAGTCTTCACTAGAGTCTTGGGTGTTCCCCAGGCCATGAGTTGAAGTCCACGGCCTGCCTACTTGAGGGAGCAGATGGAGAGTGAGGTACCCGCAGAGAACACCCAGAAGGCCGGGTACAGAGCTTCAGTAAAGTCCACCTTGAACTTATACATCAGGTGGACCTTGTCAGAGACAGCAAAGAAAATAACAAAGCCATGGTCACAGTTGAGAAGCACGCCAACCCGTGTGGCCTTGGTGGAGGGCAGAGCCTTCTCCATGTTGTTGTGCCAGGCAGAAATCTTGTTGTTGAACCACTCCACGCACCAGGAGGTGCTGTTCCGGCCAAGCCGGCTCTCGGGACCGTGGCGGTCCATGCTGCCATAGCAGACCCCCACCCCACAAAAGTTGTTCTTCTGCAGCTCCACCTCCCAGTAGTGGATGCCCTTCTTGTAGCAGTACAGGCCGAGCACCTGTGAGCAGTAGGTGAACCTCTGGGGATGTGGCTTGTAGTTCTGAGGCACATCGGCTACTGAGGCTGTGGTGTAGCTCTCCGTCAGTGCCACCTTGTTGTGGGCTGTGTTGAAGTCCAGGATGACTTTCACAGAATCTAGGGAAACACCACCCCAAAGAATCAATGGCAAAGGGCCCAAGTGCTCTCACTTTCAGGCCTTTCCCTAACTGGTACTAGCTATGCATCTGTTTTATCCATCCATCCTCCCCACCAATCAGCCAGCTAGCCACCCACTCTTCCATCCACAGAGCCAAGATACTCACAATCCAGGAGCTCAGCTCTGGACTTGGTTAAGAAGTTCTCCAGCACCTTGGCCTTGAGAGATGTGGCATTGGGCGACAAGGGAGGGGCTTTGGGAGCCACTGGGAGAGAAAAACAGGGTGGTTTTCAGGACAAACTCACAGTAGATTCCCCACTGGTCCTAGCCCATTATTACTCACCATCTGGGACTGAATTCAAGTCCACTGCCTGGGCATGGGCCACAAAGGTAGGACTAGAGACAGCAGCTGGGGTAAAGAAAGAGACACAAGAATTGGGGATGTGACATAGAGGAATAGAAATGGCCTCTCCTCCCTTCCAAGGTGTGTTGTCAACAGCCTTTCCACAAACACACATCTAAACAGTGAGGACCACCCAGGCGAGTCAACATAAGGCTACCATTATCTTATCTATCTCATGCACTTACACTGGGCCTCACCTACAACCTCTGGCCTGCAGAATACAGTCATAAGACTGGGCCCATCACAGAAGCCTGACAACATAGCTGCTGAGTTTTTAGTTCTAGGATTAGACAAGTCAAGAACAAAAAGATGAGCTGGGTGTGGTGATGAGCACATCTGTAATCCCAGCTACCCAGTAGGCAAAAATCAGGAGGATCAAAGTTCACCAGCCCAGGCAAAAAATTAGTAAGACCCCATCTCAACCAACAAGCTGGGTATGGTGGCATGTACTTGAGGTGCCAATTATGTGGCAGGCCATAGGTAGGAGGACGGTAGTCTGAGGCCAGCCCCAGGCAAAAATTCAAAAGCCTATCTAAAAAATAAATGAAGCAAAAAAAGACTGGGGGAAGGGGAAGGCATGACTCAATGCTAGAACACTTGTGTTGTAAGCACAGGTCCTGAGTTCAAATACACATACCACCAAAAGAAAAAGAACAGAAAAAAATGAAAAAGATGCACAAAAGCACAACTTACAGGTTTTCTTGATCTTCTTTTCTTCTGAAAAAGCAAGATTTCGTAATTAAGATGTTTTAAAGCACAACACCGTGATACTATAATAACACTCATTTCAACAAATTCTATTTAGACAAATAAAGTTAGGATGTTTTAACTTGAAAATACCAGGAGACAGCAGGCAGAATTTAGCTACGGTGACAGGGACCACCATGGGGAGGGTGGACGGGGAGTACTGAGTAATAAGAAGCAGGAAGGAATTTTCCAGGGTAGCAGAGAACCTTCTTGTTGACTTGGGTAATAGTAACACAAATATGCAGTTATTTGTCTAACTGCATATTTAAGATCTATGCATATTACTGCAGGTAAATTTTATCTCTATAAAAGAAAAAAACAAACTAATAAAAAATAGGGAGTCAGTAAAAGAAAAGTTATTGTCAAGTATCACAAGATACAGTGACTCATGCCTGTAATCCCAGCTAACCCCAGCCTCTTGGGAGAAGGAGATTGAGAGATTGCAGTTTGAGGTGGTTTGAGGCCAGCCCTGATAAAAAATGTAAGGAAGACCCCATCTCAACAAAACAAGCTGGGCATGTGGCACCTCAAGTATGCAGGAAGCATAAATGAGAGGATCAAAGTCCAAGCACCTGCCTAGCAAACAAGAGGCCCTGGGTTCTAACCCCAGTCTCGCCAAAAATAAATAAATAATAATAATAATAATCACAGAATTCTAGAGGCTGAGGCAAGAAGGAGGATTACAAGTTCGAGACCAACCTGAACCCTCTGCCAGAACGTAAAGTCTGGGCTCTTATCCCCGTACCTGCAGGATACTTTACAGACAAGCCCTGCTTCTCCTGACAGCTTCTACTTCCCCAGATACCCCTCTTCCTCCCACTCACAGTCATATTTCTCTCAGGAGTTCACTCTCAGCCCTATTTCCTCACTTCTGCCTCTCCCACCTCCCAGAGGACCAGCATACAACCCTCCCTGGTCATCACTCATCTTGGGTGTTTCTCTACATGGTAACTAGTCCTTTCTCATTTCCTCTTCACCCACATCAGTTGATTTATTTTGGGTCATTTTCAACAATACAGAAACCCTGATTCATTTCTGAGTTTAACTTCCACAGTGCCAACTCTTTTCTAGGGCATAATTCTGCAAAGCAGAAGGGGGTTACCTCCCTCATGATGAATGGTGTTTGTGACCTGGGGCAGCAGTATGGACGCCTTCTGGGGAAGAGGACTTCAACAGGACACAGGTGCACGATCCTGTGTCACCTACTCTTTTTACTTTCCTTTTCACACAGTGCCCTTCACCATCTTCTGGCTTCCTGAGGGCTCCGTCCTCCATTTCCTCATTCTAGTCCATGGAGGGACTGACACCACACAGGTGTCTGCTGAAGTCAACCCAAACACTACAGACCAGAAAAGCAAACCCAGAGCTCTCTCAACCTGACCCCCAACTACCCACTGCTGATTTTCATACTGACTTCCAGGGAGGCAATTCAGCTAGTAAATCAGTGGCATCTTTGTGGCTTGCAAGGAGACCTCACAATCAGGGTTCCATGTGAGCCTCGCTCACCATCATCCTGTGATCTCCCTATCATTATTGCCCAAATTTGATAGACAAGGAAACTGAAGGCCATTCTTTCACCCAACCTCACACACCTTTCCCAATGATGGTGCTCACCCCCCAGGGAGGGGGAAGGTTAAAAAAAAATCTTACTCCCATCAGGCACTGGTGGCTCACGCCTGTAATCCTAGCTATTCAGAAGGCAGAGATCCGGAAGATCATGGTTCAAAGCCAGCCCAGGCAAATAGTTCATGAGACCTGATCTCGAAAAAAACCTTCACAAAAAAGGGTTGGTGGAGTGGCTCAAGGTGTAGGCCCTGAGTTCAAGCACCAGTACCACAAAAAAAAAAAAAATCTTACTCCTACACTGTACATATGTGGTTTAAATTTTTAATGGAAATCAGGAAAAAACTGTCTAAAATGGCTCAGTGAGAAAAGAGGAGGAGGCAATAAGACAGAAGGGTGAGGAATGCTGGGGTAGCAGCTCAAAGACTGAAGTCCACTGAGCTCCTGAGAGGCACAGCCTCCACTCATCAGGATCATCACCCACCTTCTCCATAGCCAGGACTTAGGTGTAGTAAATGACTCCCACACGCCAGCTTTGGTGACCCTGCCACACCAGCTAGCCCAAATATCCAATGAAGGTAGACAACCCTCCCTTCCCGCCCCAATAGAGCCCCTGTACCACCCATTATGCAGGGTCTGTGGCCAGATTTCTCCAGCAGAGACCCCCCCCACCCAAGACATCCGTGGTGATCTGGGATGGGCTGCGCCCATCTGGAAGCAGCAGCGACCCCTGCAAGAGTTTCAGCCAAAGCACCTGCCAGCCACAGCCATGCTGTTGCCAATGGACAAGATGGGGCAACTTACGTTGGGTCTTCTTCACAGGACGTGAGGATTTATATGTGGATTCTGCATTACGGTCTCCCAAGTCACCTGTGCCCAAGAAAAAGAGTTCACTGGATGTGGCTCTTCCCCACCAAGCCCAGAAGCCAGCTAGCTTTGCCATGGTGTAGGGTAGAGCGTTTACAGAGACAGCTACTTCCAGTGGCAGCCAGTCCAGTCACTTGTAAAGAGACAGAAACAAGGCATAGAAGGACCAGTTCTGTGTGTTCCTTTTCTTCTCTGCTTAAAATGTAGCTGAAAGCAAGGAGTTGTGTCACACTTCTAGAATCCCAGATACTCAGGAAGCAGAGGCAGGAGGACTGCAAGTTTGAGGCCAGCCTGGGAAGAAAGGTAGCAAGACCCTGTCTCAAAAACAGAAATACAAATAAAAATGCTAGGTGTGGGAGGGGCGAAATCTAACTAAGATATATTGTCAGCACATATGTAAATATCACAGTGTATCCCCTTGTACAAGTATTAGATGTTAATAAAATAATTATTAAAAAAGGATGGGCTGGGTGCACCGTCCAGTGGTAGAGTACTTGCTTAGCACTGCTACACAAAGTCCTTGGTTCAATCCCTAGCACTGCCAAAAAAAAGACATAGCTGGGTTTTTGGTGAAGTCTTTCCTCCCCTAGCATTCAGCCTTGTGATCTCTGAGCTTTGGTTTGTTCAACTGCACATCAAGGAGGACTCTAGCTTGCTGGTGGTTGATGGGACCACTGAATGGGATCAAGACGCCTGGTGTATAGCCAAGCTCTGTCCATGTCAGTTCCTTACCCACTGGTTCTCTTCTCTCCCCTTTCCTGAAGACCAGGAGTCTACATAGCTTTATCCCCTGCAAAACACTTCTGGAGCCTCGTCACCAGTGTTCAGAAACCCATTGCATAGTTGCCCAAGCTGATGGTCAAGTCCTCCCCTGACTACATCACAGAGGTATACTATGGGCCAGGCTCTGTCTTAGGAATGGGGGATCATCTTGGACAAGAAACAGACACTGCCTCTGCTCTCACAGAGGCCACAACCTAGTGAGGGACACAGATGGAAATCTCAGAGAACAGAAGAATGACACAGGTACAAAAGCCTCCAATGGGTGATACAAATCCAACGACGTTTCAAATGATCTTCAAAGAACGAGAAGGATCTAACTACTTGGGAGGCTGAAATCAGGAGAATTACATTCAAGGGCAGCCATCTCCAAAATAACTAGAACAAAATGGACTGGTGGCATGGCTCAAGTTGTAGAGGGCCTGCTTTGTGAAGCCCTGTGTTCAAACCCCAGTCACCCCCACCCCCCCGCCGCAAAAAAAAGAAAAAGATGGCACCAGAGAGCAGGCAGGTGGTGGCTGCACAGGGACCAGTGGACAGACTCAGGAAAAATTAAAGAAGTGAAACTGATGGCCAGGCTTGGGGGAGCACACCTGTAATGTGAGCATTCAGGAAGCAGAGGCAAGAGGAGAAACTCCTTTTTTTTGATGGCACAGGGGTTTGAACTCTGGGCCTCATTCTTGCTAGGCCGGTACTCTGCCACTTAAACCACTCCACCAGCACAAATGGATCACAAGTTTGAGGCCAGCATGGGCTACATAGAAAGACTCTTGTCTCAAAAAAACAAAGGCTTGGATGTTGCTCAGTGGTAGAGCGCTTTCCCTAGCATGTACAAGGCCCTCTAGGTTCAATCCCCAGCACCAGGGGGGAAAAAGCAGTGAAATCTGTTGACGGATTGGATGTGGGGGAAGGAAGGCTATAAAGGTAGAATTCCAAGTTTCTCTGACCCCCAAACTAGTCATCTTCCCACCAAACACACACTGAGCCCCAGTAACCCTTCAGGAAGGCTGGCTATGTTAGGATGAAGCAGATTCCTCTGATGGGGGCGGTGACTGTTTTGGGACCCCTGAAACTCAAGCCCCGATGCTCTGCATCACACCCCCACTCCCCAGGATGCTGAGAGACACCAGATTTCAGGGCTCTGCCAGGGCAGCATAGGGGCTACAGATGTTACCTGAGCTGGAAGGCTCCTCAGGCTTCTTCTCCTGCAGCTGCCTTACGGACCGCTTCAGCTCATTCTTGAGGTCAAAGGCACCCTGGTAGACCCCCTTCATCAGCTCATAATCCATCTCCACCTTTGGGATGTAGACTGGCTTTGTTGAGACTCCTTGCAGTTTTGCCGCTTTCTGGAACAAGCCAGGGGGTTAAGGACAGGGAGCTGCAGGAAAGCCAGGGCCTGGGCTTGGTCCTCACCACCCCCACAGGGAGCTTCCTGTGCTCCTGGGTGCTGCTCAAATCACAGGCCCGAGGCCCATGGAGGTTAAAGCACTGCTTGCTCTAAGATCTTTTAAGATCTGACACTGGAAAGGACCTTAGAGGTCACTCATCTTACAGATGGGGAAACTGAAATCTAGACAGGCCAAGTGGCCTGCCAGCATTTCCGCCAATGAGGGTGCAGACATAGCTGCTCTTCCCACTCCTCCAGCTTTGGCTGGGAAAGCACAGCAGGGACAGGACTCTCCCCAGGCAGGGTGGAGCAGGGCACATCCAACAGGAAGGGAGGGTCTCACTGAAAGCCCCAAACTTTGAGACTAAAGGACCCTACAGAATCAAAGGATCCATATGTGGAGGTGGAATCTGAAATCAGAGAGCTCAGGCAGCTGCCCAAGGGCACAGGAATGAGCACCTGGTAGGAAGCATCACGCCGTTCTGCCCAGCCCAAATGGGCATCATGCTCAGAGAGAAGGTTCCATCACTCCTGTGCTGAGTAGGAACCTAGGCCTTTGAGGAATTGTAGCAGGTCACCCACTAGGCAGCCTGGCATGCCAGGCCCTGGCCTCTGCATGGGACATATGTGGAGGAAGAAGGGATGAGCTGACAGCCAAATGAAGCAGGGAAACAGGCACATCTGATAACCCTGTCACCAGGGTGGTGGAGGCAGCCATGCTCTGGGACCCAAGGAAGACAGGGGAAGCTGCAGCTGACCCTAGAGAAAGGACATGAAGCCCTGAGCACGGGAGGTAGCATGGCGCTCCCACTCAGTGCCCACTGTGTCTGGGGAGTGAAGAGCGCCTCACTCGAGTCAGCACAGGGCGTGGTTGGGGGTGCTGGCAAAGGCTGCACCAGGACACCAAGGACCCTGTAGGCCACACTAATGAGGCTAGAAAGGACAGGGGACAGTGCTTTAGAAAGACACTTTCCAGGGGCCATGTGGGGAAGGATGGAAAGAGAGGGAAAAGCCTGTATAGTAGTTGACATTCTAAGGTATCCCCAAGATTCCTCCCCACCACTATACACTCCCCACCTAACCCCTCCTCTTGAATAATAGGCAGGACAGTGGATGTGACAAGATATCACTCCATAATTAGCTCACACTATATGGCAAAGGAGAGGGAATACTGCAGGTGGAATTAAGACCCTAAACCAGTTGATTTTGAGTTCATCAAAAGGGTGACTATCCTGGGTGGGCCAGACTTAATCAGGTAAAAGCCTTCTAAGTTGGGTAGGGCAGGACCTTCCTAGAGGGAGAAATTTCTCCTGCTGGTTGACAAAGCTGCTAAGTTGAGAAAAGACCTTAGTTGACAGCAAAAAAAAAAAAGTGGGAAGGAACTAAATTCTGCCAAGAATGAGGTGAGCATGGAAGACAAGGCTGAGCTACAAAATGAATGAATCCGGGCAACACCCCAACTGCAGCCTTGTGAGATACTAAACAGACAACCCAGAAAGCCAGGCCCAGATCTTGGGCTGGGTAAACTCTGAGACAATAAATATGTATTGTCCTAACCCCTAAATTCGGGTAAGTTGTTGCGCAGCGTGTCTCAGGAATACTTCCAATGACCTCTAGCAGCCCCAACTCCATGAGGTCCTGATTGTAATCAACACTGGGAACCACTAGGCCGTGGCTCACGCCTGTAATCCTAACTACTTGAGAGGCTGAGATTGGGAGGATCACGGTTTGAGGCCAGCCTAGGCAAGTAGTTCTGGAGACCCTATCTCCAAAATAACCAGAGAAAAATAGACTCGAGGAATGGCTCAAGCAGTAGAGAGCCTGCTTGGCAAGCATGAAGCCCCACGTTCAAACCCCGCTCCCATTAAAAACAAACAAAAAAAAACCATGGGGATGCTAGACAGAAAGCTCTCGCCAACACCATCAGGGCAACCTACCCCCAGAAACTCATACTCGTCCCCTTTGGTCAGGCTGAGCTCGATCTCCTCCTTCAGGCTCTGCATCTCACTCTTCTTCTTGAGGAGTACCTGGTAAATGGTGTCGTACTTGCTGCTCACCCTCATCTCTTCATCTTTTATCTTACGAGTCAAGCTGGCCTCTGAAGCATCAATGATTGCCTTAATTTCCATGTATTCTTGTCTCAGCTGATCCATCTTCCTTTTTGCAGCATCCTAAGAGGACCAAGGCAAGAGGGTTCCCGTCAGACAGCAAAATTGCTGAGGCTGCAACCCCACTAGTCAGGGCAGCGGGGAGCACGGGGACCTCGCACTGCCCCTCGCGGAGGTGCAAACGGGCACAGCCGCTTGAGATGGACATTTGCAATGCATGCTCCACATCCCACATCCCAGCAACTCCAATCCTAGGCAAACACTCTAGAAAAATTCTTGGATACCTGCCCCAGAGGCACACACAAGCATGTGCAGAAGCAGCATTGTTTAAAACAGCAAAAAGCAAGCTGGGCATGGTGGTGCACTGCTGTAGTTTCGTCTGCCCAGGAGGCTAAGATAGAAGGATCGCTTGAATCCAGAAGTTTGAAGCCAGTTGGGCAACATAGCTAGAGTATCTCAACTTAAAAAGAAAAGCAGAAACCTGAACATAGGAGACTTAATACAAAGACTGAGAAGGACCCATAGGATGGAATACTGAGCAGTGATAAAACTTAAAAAACTGCTTAGCAAGCCCAAGGCTCTGAATTCAATCCTCAGTACCCCACTAATAATAATAATAATAATAATAATAATAAATAATAACAGAAATACATGGGAATGAATGAATAAATTCAAGGTAGCAGTTACTTCTAGAAGGGGGGAGGCAGATGAGATAAAAGGAGAAACCAAGAGGAGGGGCTACTGGCAATATTTTATTTCTTAAGCTAGAGGAAGTTCATAGGTGATTTTTTTAAAGGAGGGGCATAAAGCAGTTTTAGGAAGTTTCTGGAACAACATAGACACATAGTGATTACGGAACATCTGAAATGAGCTGGGGTGTTTTTCAAGTTGTGGATACACATTGGATGTCAACGACTTGATATCAAAAAAAGGAATGTAAAACGTCTCATTAATACGTTTTCTCTCTTTTTTTTATTATACTGTTGTACTGGGGGTACACTGTAACATTTATAAAAGTTCTTACAATATACTATAGCTGAATTCACTCCCTCCATCGTTCTCTCATTAATGCTTTTTATTGATGACATATTGAAATGATAATTTTTGGACACATTAAGTTAAATAAATTGTGCTTTCAGGGACTGGGGTGCAGTGCAGTGGCAGAGCACTTGTCTAGGATGTACAAAAGCCCTGGGCTTGATTTCCAGTACTGGAAAAAAAAAAAAGAAGAAGAAGAAGGAAGAGGAAAAAGAGGAGGAAGAAAATAATAAATTCCATGTAATATTCAAGTTTCTTTAACATTCTATTTTGGATATAATATATTCAAAATATATCCTATTTTGGATGCACGATACTGCTGGGTAACCTCAACAGCTCAGAATCAAGCATAACAAGCAGAAACACATGCTAGAGGAACAGGATACCGACAGAGTAGTTTCAACTACTTTTTTTTTTTTTTTGGCAGTACTTGGGTTTGAACTCAGGGCCTCAAGCTTGCTAGACAGGTGCTCTACCACTTGAGTCACTCCACCATCCCTTTTTTGTGTTGGGTAATTTTTTGAGGTAGGGTCTTAAGAACTATTTGGCCAAGGCTGGCTTTGAACCTTGATCCTTCTGATCTGTCTCCTGAGTAGCTAGGATTATAGGCATGAGCCACCAGTACTTGACTAAACTATTTCTTAATCCAACCTTTTACTTTGATGCCTCCATTGTGACCACCAATACCTTCCAATATTTATTCCCTCCTTTTTCCTTTAGTAAGAAAACACCCTAGAGTTCCATCTGGGCATGTAGTTATCTGCCCAGACTACATTTCCCAGACTCCTCTGCAGCTAGGCTTGGCCAGGTGACTAAGCTCCTTCCAATGAGACATGGCCAGAAGTGATAAGTGCAACCTGTGTCACTTGCTTACAAGGAATTTGCTTATTGTCCTCCACTTCCTCCCCTCCCTCTCTGTTCCCTTTTTCACAGGCTGAAAAAAATGTAATTGTGACTCAGTGTAGAGATCCAATTTGACATGACTACTGCCATCTTGGTCATAACCGCCATTTGGTCAGCCAGGTGATCCTGGCACATATCCTAAACCCTATAGGACAAAGTCATTAGGACAGTCAGCCAAGTGTGCTGTGCTGGCCACTGATGCCTGACTATTTCTTAGCCAAGGTGGGACACATTAACAGTTTTTGAGAAAGGTCAGGTGCATTCCATTTGGTAGAGGCCTCCCTAGCTTAGCAGATAAACCCCTTCCTCCTGCCCTGGGGTGTGAGGATCCTCCTGTCTCATTGCTACCCAAGACACTGTTCCCTTTACTAAGTCCCCAATAAACTGCACTCCACAGTCCTGCATCTGTCTGCTTCTTCCTGGGGTCTTTGCCACCTTCTGCCTTTGGTGATTGGTTTTCATCTCCTAAGTCCAGGTTCTTCCAATACACCCAGTTTCAACAAAAGAGAAAGGACACCACCCTGTGGAACAGAAGGACAATAAAAAGGAAGGGCACAGAATCCCTGAATGGTGCACAGCCATCTGCTAGCCTGGGTTTCTCACGTGTGGGCGTGGACTGTCACTATCTTATTTAGATCTCTAAATTTGGTGGTGTCTTTGTTATAGGAGTTTAACCAGCTCTCTACCCAGTGAATACAGTTCCGCTTGCATCCTGCCGTTTAAATCTCACAGTTCCCATCAGAGGAGTTGTGGTTCCATCGCACAGATGGGAAAACTAAGACTCAGAGATGTGCCAACATGACCAAAGCCACAACGGCTAGTCCAGAACACAGACCTCATGTAACCAAGCCACAACCGCCACAGTGAACTAGGGGCCGCCACTCAGGAACAGGTATTTAAAAATCCAGACTTCTTGCTTTCAGTTCAAAGGCAATGTAATGTTAAAGGAGAACACACATTTCTACTAGTTAGACTATACCTGCTTCCTTCCAGTGTTCTTTCCTTCACTTCCTGCAGTGGATTGAATGCTGGCCCCACCAAAAGATAATGTCCACATTCCCGTAATTAAAGTAAGGGTCTGAAGTTGAGCTCATCCTGGATTACCCAGTAAGACCTAAGTAAAACGATGAGTGTCCTTATTACAGATGGAAGATAAGACACAGAGGAGGGGGAGGTGACCATATGGAGACAGAGGCAGAAATTGGAGCAATGTTACTACTAGAAGCTGTAAGAGACAAGGAAGAAGTCTCCCCCAGAGACTTTAGAGGGAGTGTGACCCTGCCAACACCTTCATTTTGGACTTCTGGTCTCCAGAACTGTGAAAAAATTAATTTCTCTTGTTGTAAACCACCGACTGTGTGTGGCAATTTATTACCCAGGAAAATGATGCAATTTTTAAAAACAGACCACCCCCAGAGGGGATATACTTTGTTTCCTGTTTTCCTTAAAACTGCTTTTCTATATTACTACTTTTTAATCCTAATTATTCATGATTCCCCAAGGATGGGTTTATAGGTAGTTTTCAATTTGGGTTTGGGAAGGGTCTTTCTTGGGTACACAGCTTTTTTGCACATGTCACGCACCCAGGCTTATGTAGGTCAGAGCCAAGTCTGTCCTGCCTGGAGGCCAAAGGAAATGCCAGAACTGGGCTGGGGCCAGAAGAGGTGCTGCCACTCACCCGCACACTCTGCTGCTTGGCTCTCACATCCTCCAGTGCTCTTGACGCCCCATTGATATGACTGTACATGATGGTTAGTTTTTGCCTCAGTTTGTTCTGTAGAAGAAACAGACAAGGGTGAGAGAGTCCCAGTTGGGCCCAACCCCTCCCCCTGGGAGCCATGTTTTTGCATCTGTCCTCTGGCGCTTCTGCCATCCATGTTTTGCCTGCCTGCAGCTTCTTTTTTTTTTTTTTTTTTTTTTTTTTTTGGTGGCACAGGGGTTTGAACTCGGTGCCTCATGCTTGCTAAGCAGGCTGCTGAGTCACTCCACCAGCCCTTGCCTGCAGCTTCTTAAAGCATTCTCTTATTTCCTGATCCCTTCATCCCTTTAGGGGACAGGACAGGACAGTAAAGAAGACTTGGCACCAGTCAGACTAGGTTCAACGGTCCCAACTGTCTCCCACCTCGGTTTCCTTGGCCATGAATTAGATACAACTGTTCTCACCTGCAGGGCCATCAGGAGACCAACTGAAACCCCGTACCAGCATGGCGTCTGGTCTCAGTAAGGGCATACTAAAATATCAGCTTCTATTACCAGGAATTTCTTCACTACTATTCATTTAACAGCTGATGAGATCGAAGCAAGGAGGATGGCAAGGGACCAAGCTTGCACAGAGACATAACAAGCTGGGACAGCTGCTTCGGTCATGGCAGATGAAGTCACTCAGACACCACAAACAGCCAGAAAAGCAGACAGGATATCGAAGAAGAAAAATCTGCTAAAAGACACTGAAGAGCTAACAAAGCAGGGGAGAATGATGGAGCCTCTCCTCAGATGCACCTGCCAATTCTGGAAAGAAGATGGGAGAGCTTCTGTTAGCCTGAGGACTCAGAGTCCAAGATGCACCTGGCCACCCCTGGCCGGGACCACTAAGAGCTGGGAAAAAGGACGGGGTGGGCACAAAGGCTGCAGCCCAGCTGTCAATCAGTTCAGGCCCCGAAATGGTGCTCAGGTAGTTCAGAATTACTTGGCTCCAAGCCACCCCCAGAAACAAAGGTAAATTATGCATGAAGGAAGATAATGTCAACTTCATGTTATTTCTGTGAGTTTTTTGGTTTTACAGTAAATGGGTTACATTTCATTTTTTAAATTTATCGTTTTTACAATTACTTGCATGTGTGTACATTATTTGGGCCACCTCCCCCATTCCCCCATTTCTGTAAGTTTTTGCATCAATATCTGAGTCTCCTACATCCCTGCTTAGATGAAATGTTGGGGCACAGAACTGAGAAGGGAAATCACCACCACTACCATATGTGCTTACTGTATGTACTATGCTACCATTTGACACATATTAACTTATTCAAAGCTAAAAACAATGCTGTGAGGTAGGAATTACCTAATCTTTACAGAAAAGGACACTGAGGCAGACAGCAATTAGGTCACTCGCCCAAGACCACATTACTATTAATTTTCAAAGCTAAGGTTCTAGTATTAAAGTTATAGACATGATCAAACTGAATGTGCTGGAAATTTCTAGGAAGAACAAAAACAAAACACTTCCTTCCCTTAAGTAGCTGCTCAGTTCAACATACTCTGGTCCCTGCTCCAGTTTCCTGCTCCCCACTCCACCAGAGATACTCAGGGCTGAACATGCCCTTGAATCTGGATTTGAACAACCCAGTGACAGTCACATGTAAAGGCTGGAAGCAGAGATCAAAGCCATACAAACCCAAGCAGGAAAGCCCAAATAATTAACAATGGTTTCACACTCCCACCTGGCCTCCACCAGCGGCCTTAGGCTGAGATAGGTTGGGGCCAAAGGCCAAACCCAGTCAGATCCGGACTCACAGAGCTGGAAGAGACCTGGGAACACCCAGGCCACTGGCAACTGTTTGACTTCCAAGAGCTGCTCTTAGTCCTGTACCCTGAGCCCTACATTTTGTAAGATTGTATCACCATTAATCAAACACAGATGAAAGAAAGTCCCTCAGCCTGCACAGGGACCCACATGACTCAAGACCAAAGGCAAGCAGCCCAGAGACTCTGGTAGCCACAACAGGCCCCTGAATCAAAAGGTCAGTAACTTTCTGTAGTTGTTAGGATTGTGTCACAGGCCAAAAGACATTGGGCCCTCTGTGAAAGAGGCAGCAGAGTTCTAAGTCTGCGCCACACTAGCAGCCAAAACACTAAAGGCTGGAGCACTGCCCAGCGGGGACCACCACCAAGATGGTCTGAGTAGTAGCATCAGCCAAGCTGGAAAAGAGACTCATGGGGTACAATTGGCGAGGGAATCCTGCTACAAGGATTAAGCAACTGAGAAGGTATGGTGCACGAAGCTGGGTGTGGACTACTGTTCAGGGCGACGGTGGTCAAAAGACAGCAGTGTGGCTGAGAAGGCCCTCTCACCCTCATCCCAGCCTCCGGGATAAGAATTTAAAAGTGCCTCTCTTCAGGAGTCAGGGTGCCCCAGTGCTTACGGGCAGGCCTGTGTGCCTGAGGCCAGGACTATCTGCGCAGCCTGACAGGCCTGGGACTGCCCTAGCGCTGGGGGTGCCCTGTCCACCCAGTGTAATCCTCTCTACCCAGGCCTGAGTATCAGAAATGGAGTTTCCACAGTTAATGTTTTTTTATGGACTGACTCACTCACTCCTCACAATAACCAGCATCACCACTGTCAGGATTCAAACCCAGATCTTAGCACCACTCTGGTGGGAGCTGTGTAAACAGCCACACCACTTGACACTGGGACCTGCTTAGGAAGCACTTCTCACACAGTTTATCTCTCCAGAGCCTTCCCCCTACCCTTGGCGGTGGGGAGAGAATGCTATTAATTCCACTTGGCAGAAGAGGACAGGGAGTCTCAGAGTTCTGCAGTGACTTGCCTCTGGACACACAACTATACTGGGGCAAAGCAGGGCTCCTAGCCCCAAAGAACAGGCAGGTTCTTTCCTGGAACAGGTGGACACTGTGTCTATACCCAAATTAGTCCTCTGGCGGAGGAGGGTAACTTGAAGGACATGTTTTCAGGTCCAGCTGCTGAGACTCGGGTGGGTTGTGGTGGGGGTGGGGGTGCGGTCCTGGGAGTCCAGCTCAGATCTAGAGAAGCAGGCAAGACCCAGGGAGGGCTGGGCCTGAGGGAGCAAGGTCCTGTGTCCTGGAGCCGCTGCAAACCTCACTGACCTTGGCCAGGCTCACATCTCCTCTAACCACATCAGGATGGTCCTTGTCCCCCTGACAGTACTGTGAAAGCGACATGTGATCAGGTCACACTTTGGGGCTTACAGTAATATAACAATGGGGTTGGTTACACCCGATTAGCCTCTGCTATGAGTTCACAGAGGTAAGGAATGATCCCCTAAGCCACTAAGAACATGGCAGGCCTGGAAGGCCCTTAGGAATCCCCCTCCTCCTGCTTTTGCCCATGAGGACCCAGGTCCAGGGACCAAATCCATGCTCGAAGTTATACATCAGGAAAAGGACACTATGGTGCAAGAGCGCTGCTGTGAGTAACATCCGGCAATTTCTGGGGCTCTGGCCACCCTCCCTGACCACTAGAACTCCAACTCACATGACCTCAAGCCTCTGAGAATGTTCTGTGCTCTGGACTCTACAGATCTGGATATAGGTCTGGTCCACGGGGAGACCAGAAACCACAAACTGTGAGTCAAACCAACCTCGCCCCCTTGTTTGGCCACTTACTGAATTAGTTCTGCTAAGTTAACTTCTCTGGGCCTCAGTTTTCTGGACTGAGAAACGGAACTGATAATAAATAGCTCTTAGGTGCAGCCAGGATTTAACCAGGGAACAAAGATTACCTCCAGGGTTCACATTTGACATTCAAAACTCTAACACCATCAGATAAGCAGACACTACCCTGCCAGTGACTTCCAGTTTTTGCTTCTGTAAAGCATGTGTGGGGGGAGGTAAGGGAGGCAGACAATGAATGAGGGGGAGAGCTATATAATTTCCCTGCATTGTCATGGGGGCTGCCCACCCCTGGGGTACTGTGGCCCCAAGACAGCCCAGATGGTTGCATCCAAGTAGATTTCAGGCTTAGCAGAACCCATGGCGTGGCATTAATGTCCGCGGTGGCCCCTCTGCACATCCCAGCCAGGCCCATGCTGCCCTCTGCACCCTCACCAGCCATGCCCTACCTCCAGGTCGACACTGGCCTGGCTCAGGGGCACAGTGGAGCAGGCCTTGTGCTCCACCAAGCAGATGTGGCAGATGCACTCGGCATGCTCGGGGCAAAAGAATTCCCGCAGGCGGTTGTGCTGGGGACATTTGCGCTGCAGCAGGTCACGGACAGGCGGTTGCAGGGGGTGGTCCTGGAAGGCCGGGCTGTCGAGGTGCGGCCGCAGGTGCTCCTGGCAGAAGGAGGCCATGCACACGAGACACGTCTTCACAGCAGCCTCCTTCAGGCAGTGGTCGCAGGCCACCTGGCCACCTGCGCTGGGGGCCTTGGCGCGGGCAGGCGGTGTCCACTCGTCTTCGGCAGGTAGCTTCCCCTGCTCGACTTGCAGGAACTGCTCCACCACGTTGCACAGCACCGTGTTCTTCTGCAGCTGTGGGCGCGCATGGTAGACGGTGCGGCACTGCGGGCACCGGTACGGCGCCATCAGGGCCGACCACGTCTCACCCAGGCACGACCTGCAGAAGTTGTGGCCGCACGGGGTGGTGACAGGCTCCTTGAAGGGCTCCAGGCAAATGGAGCACGACAGCTCCTCAGCCAGCGGGAACAGCTCAGCCATGGCGCTCCGGGGGGGCACTGGACGTCCGGGACGCGCAGGGACAGCAGTGGAGTCCGGCGCACGACCTTCGCAAGGCTGCCGAGGAAACGAAACTGAGCTGGGGAGAGGCGGTGCCCTTGGCTTTCAGGAAGTCACGTGGGGGTCAGAGGGGCCGGGCCGCGCGGGGGGGGGGGGGGGGTCCCTTCCCCGAGCCGGAGGTCACCAAGGCCCGGCAGCTGGCGCTCGGAGAAGAGGGTGGGCGACACTGGCAAGCCCGGTGGCTCCTGCCGGGCGAGGATGGGGCGGGCCCTGGACTCGCGACCAAACCGCCCCTCTGCGGCTTCGGGTCGCTCCGTTGCTGAAATGAAGCTGGGGGTGGGCAATCCGGACCGCGGAGTCGGCGTCCATGACCCGCGGGACTTCTGCGTACACTTGCGCACCGAGGCAAGGCCGCTTTCCAGAACTCATCCGCGATCCGAGGTGTCCCCCACTGCCCTCGCCAGCAAGGATACTCTTGTTACCAGGGCAGGCCTGGACAAAACCAAACCGAACAGGACAAAAAAAAAAAAAAATTAGATGTGGGTAGTGGTAGTGTACGCCTGTAATTACGCCCAGCACTCGGGAGGCCTAGGCAGGAGGACCGTGAATTCAAGGCCAGCCTTGGGGCTCCATGGCGAGTTCACCCTCGCGAGGACTGTGTGGTGAGACTGTCTCAAAAAACTGAAGAGTAAAATAAACGAAAAGTAAATCTGTGTGAACTGCTAAAAGACACTGCCTTTTTTCTTTCCTTCAATCGTTCCTCTTCCCTTATCTTAGACTCGGACGCATGATCATACAAGACCATGAAGCCAGAGTCACACACTCAGAGTCTGTGATTAGTGTATTTATTTATTTATTTATTTGATAGGACTGGGGTTTGAACTCAGGGCATTGTGCTTGCAACGCTGATTTATTTTTTCATTCCATGACAGAGCATGCTTTTTGAAAAAAAAATACCCTTCTACTTACCTTGGATCTGGGGACACCCAAGTTTAACGTTTCCTCTCTCTTACACATACACACACAAACACACAATATTGGAACTGAATTTTTTTCCTCTCAGAATTGTTCATTTAGGCATATTTTATTTTAGTTCTGCTCCCCCTTTTCTGGTCTGGGTGCAGGAAACATGGGTAGACAGGAGGCTACAAGTATTGAAGGGGGGATAGGATTAGGAAGAGGGCAGTTTTAGGGGAGTTTTTGTTTGTTTGTGGTAGGGTCTCCATATGTATCCCCAGGCTAGCCTTGAACTTATATGCTCCTACCTCAGCCTTCCAAGTGCTGGAATTACAGAATGCACCACCACACCCAGCTAAGGAAACATCATTTTGAAGAGTTCATTGGAGTTTGTATTGGATGACAGTTAAAAACAGTAAGGACAAGGTAAATGTCTTAAATTATCTAATAATTCCTACTATTTGTGGGGTACCTACTGTGTCCCAGACAAGTCACATGTATTATCCTGATCTTTATAAACTTTGTAACATAGTGTCATGTCATTTTACAGATGAGGTTCACAAAGGACGACTGGGATTCTAGGTCATAGCTGCTGAATTCTGGTTCCTCTAATTCTTGTCATGTCTCCCATTCCTCAGGGCCTTTTATCCCACTGTACTCTTCCATATTTTATTGTTGTTGCTGCTTGCTTAGAGAGGAAGAAGGCAGAAGGATGAGATAAGAATTCGAGACTCGTGTGTAGTATCTCATTTAATTCTCAGGGTAACTCTTTGAGGTAGATAAAATAATCTCATGTTACAGATGAGAAAACTAAAGCTTAGAGAAACTAAATAACTTGCCTAATGCACTGGATATTGGCACCCAGCCTATCTGGCTCCAAAAGCCAAATATTACCAAATGCTGCCTCCCAAGGGAGGAGCAGAACAGTTTCCAGGAAATAAACACCACAAAATCCACCTCTAACCTAGTTATTGTGGGTGAGGTAGTTTGGTGACTCATGCTAGCTCGTGGAATTCTCGTGGCTGAGAAAGGCTGCTTAGACAATGAAGATGGCTAGGAGGATCACACTTCGTATTTATCAAATTCCAAGGAGAAGATATTTACTAAGAAACAGACATTAGACAGACTTCCTGCTGAGGGAATAAGCCTAACGTGGGTATGTCTTGTAATACAGTGAGAGCACAAAGGGGACTGAGAGACCAGTTCCTGAAAGGGTATGGATTCGTCACTGCAAATCAGGGGGCCCAATAATACCTTTTTTGTGGGGATGTTGTGGAAGCAAAATGAAGCACATGCAAAGTGTACTCAGGTAGGCAGGAGTAGGACACCCCAAATGTTAATCCTTATGATGGGCTCACGGGGGCCAGGACTGTCCCTGGCCTGGAGGGTATGATTACTTATCATCGTGACTTCGGTAGAACAATGTCCTAAAGTCAAATATGACCCAGTTGGTCGGTCACCAGGAAACTCTATGACCCCATCCAGCAGATGGTTGGCAATCCTAACCAGATTCCCACTGTGTATGTGGGAAAGCTAGGTGGAGTAATAAACCTCATTTGCCTGCAAAATAGGATTTGCTTATTATTTCCACCACTGCCATTCTTATGAAATTTAAGGTCAGATTGGGGGTGTGGTTCTGGCACCCACCCTCAAGTCCTCAACCCTGTATAAAGAACACTGGCTCATATTCTCATTTAAAAGATGGCCAGAATGGGAGGAGGGAGGATGTGAGGAGAGGGTGTAGGCGGGTGAATATGGTGCAAATATTTTGTACACATGTATGTAAATGAAAAAATGATAGCTGTTAAAACTATTCCAGGAATGGGGGGTGGTAAGGAGAATGATGGAGGGGGTGAATTCAACTATGATATATAGTTGATATATTGTAAGAACTTTTGCAAATGCCACAATGTACCCCAGCACAACAATACAAAAAGTCAAAAAAAAAAAAAAGATGGCCAGGGGAGGGCTGACAGAGTGGCTCAAGTGGTAGAGTGCCTGTCTAGCAAGTGTGAAACCCTGAGTTCAAATCCTAGCACTGACAAAAAAGTTTAAAAGACCACAGGGGCTGGGAAGGTAGCTCAGGGGTAGAATGTATGTTTAGCATGAGTGAGGCCCTAGGTTCAATCCCCAGTACTGCCAATAAAAGAAAAAAAAAAAGGTCTAAATAACCTAAGATCATACAAGTGGCTAAAGACAGAGAAGGGCCTGGGATCCTGCTCTCTTCATTCAGATTCTGTATGTGTGGAAAAGACTGGTGTCCATGTCCCCACACCATCAAACTTAGTCATGAAATTAAGTGTAATCAATTCTCACAAAGTTCTTATTTTTTCCTTAAGTACTATGATCTTTTGTTAGCTGAGATACTCAATTTACTATTTTTCCTTCAGTAGTTTGTGTTGTTGAAACTATTGCCAAATGAAAAACCATGAAAAGGTATAAGCTTATGCCTATAATCCTAGCTACTTGTGAGGTGGAGATCGGGAGGATCATGGCTTGAGGCCAGCACAAATAGTTCTTGGAATCCCATCTCCAAAATTACCAGAGCAAAGTGAATTGGAGGTGTGGCTCCAGTGGTAGAGCACCTGCTTTGCAAGCACCAAGCCCTGAGTTCACATCCCAGTTCCAACACCAACAAAAGGTTAAAATTTACACCTACATTTTCTTCTAAGAGTTAATTGGTTGGGTCTTTCACTAAGGTCTTCAGTCCATCTTGAGTTTTACGCATGGGTCTGGGTATAAGGGTCCATTTTCATTCTTTCACATCCAGTTGTACAAGCACCATTTATTGAAATGACTACTTTCCCCACCAAACTGACTTTGGCAACCTGTTCAAAACCAATTTACCATAATTGAATGGATTTATTTCTGAACTCTCAACTATATTCCATTAATATACCAGTGCCAGTCTTGATTATAAATTTTGAAATCAGAAAGTGGAGTCTTTCAACTTTCTGTTTTGTTTTTTTACAAGGTCTCCCTAAGTAGTCCGGGTTGGCCTGGAACTCATTATGTAGCCATGGATGACTTTAAACTCTGGATCCTCATGCCTCAGCCTCCTGAGGTTACAGACACTTATCACCACACCTGACTCCAACTTTTTCTTTCTCAAGATTATTTAAAATATTTTAGGTTCCTTGCATTTCCAAATGAATTATACCATCAGCTTGACAATTTCTACAAAAATTCCAGCTCAGTTTTGATAGGGACTGTGTTGAATATGTAGACTAACTTGAGTATTATCATCTTAATATGAAGTCCTCAGATTCATGAATATGGGATGCCTTTCCATTTACTTAGATCTTCTTTAATTTTAATGTCCTTTTTTTCTTACTTTGCAGCATTCAATTCTCACACCTATTTTGTTAAATTTACTCATATATTTATATATGAATATGTATGTACATATACATACCTGTGGCCCTGGCTGGCCTGGATCTATGTATCCCAGGCTACCCTCAACTTTGTGATCCTCCTGCCTCCACCTACCGCCACCCACCACACCTTGGCTTTATTCTTTTACGTATTTTAGATGCTATTACGGTGGAGTTATGTTCTTAGTTCTGTTTCAGATTGTTTGCTGCTATGTAGATACACAATTGATTTTTCTTTTTTTTTTTTTTTTTTGAAGCACCAGAGCCTACACCTTGAGCCACTCCACTAGCATTTTTTGTGTTAGGCATTTTCGAGATAGGGTCTCATGAATTACTTGCCTGGGCTGGTTTCAAACTGCAATCCTCCTGATCTCTGCCTCCTAAGGCATAAGCCACCAGCTCCCAGCCACAATTGATTTTTAAAAAAATTTTATTAGTGAACATTAATTGTACAAAATGTTCATTATAACATCTTCATATCACAATTGATTTTTATGTGTTTACCTTCTATCTTGGAACGTTACTGAGCTTGTGCATTAGCTGTAATGGTTCCTGTGTAATGGTTCTTTACAATTTCTCATCGAAGTTTTACTTCTTCCTTTCTCATATTTTATCTTTTTTTTGCAGTGCTAGAGATTAAACCCAGGGCTTCACACATGCTAGGCAAGCACTTGACCACTGAGCAACACCCCAACGCTTTATTTCTTCTTTGACCAATTGCCCTGTCTAG